CAGTCAAGGGCATGTACCTTGGTTGTGGGCACATACCCAGTAGGGAGTGTGCAGGAGGCAGCTGATCGATGTTTCTCTCTCATAAATGTTTCTAACTCTCTATCTCTCTCTGTAAAAAATCAATAAAATATATTAAAAAAAAAAACAAAAAAAAACCATAAGAACTGAAATGCATAAGTATGTCATGATATATATTTATATGTTGTATATGAGGCCCTTGACAATGAGAAATGCAAAAACACTTAACTCAAATTGCCCTCAATCATCAAATTTGCCCCCCTGTGGGATGTGTGCCCCACTTTGGGAACACCTGCTCTAGGAAAACCATGATTTTCTCATTTTCATGCCCCCTCAGCTCAGCCCAGAGGTCCGCATGTATTAGTTACTCATTTAATTTAAATTTTATCCGACATGTTTACTGAATATCTACTATAACCAAGTAGTGTTTTAGGTGCTGGGAATAGGTAATTGGAGAGACAACATGAAAATAAAATTTGCCCTCTTGGAGTTTCCATTCTAGTGTGGCAAACTAAAATGTGATTAATGCGACAGGGAAAAAGCAGGGAAAGGGGCAGAGGGTGCTGGTGGGGAACAGGCTCATCCTTTTGAGTATGGTTGTCCAGGAAATCTTCACTGAGGAGTACTTAAGCAGAAGGATTAGGGAGTGAACAGAGCAGATAACATCTGGAAGAGAGTTGCTCAGGTCAGCTAGGGCAAAGGCCTGCGCTGGGCTCATGCCTGGAACAGGAAAAGCAAGGATGCCAGTGAGTGGAGCAGAGTGTGGTCAGGTAGTAAGAGGCTCTCAGGGCTTTGGTGCGCATATAAAGACTGGCTTTCCTCTGAGATAGGAAACCACCGAAGGGTTTTGAGCAGGAGTGGCATCATCTGACCTTCCCCAACAGTTTACCTTGTTTATAAAATTTGCAACATAGAATAAATCTAAATTGCGTAGGAGGTTGGGGATTGGATTTGAAATAAATTTGGCTTCCAATTTACAATTAGTTTGGTTTGCAAAGTCCTGGTTGTGTTGTTTCCAAACTTAATATTTCCTTAATTTTTGAGAAAATGTTTAAAATGTCACTTCAATGATTAAGATCTAAAGTAGTGACATTTCTTTGAATTTTGGATAAACATTTTTTTTCTTCTGAGAGGCAGAACTAAAGAAAGCTGAGTGATGCCCCAGTGACTAGGTCTCTGAGATGCCAATTCAGGACTTTTTGATGTCTGGGACCTGGGGCTTTTGGTATTTGTAGCCCAGAAAACATCCTCAGATTTGGGGTGTTTTCTGAAACTCCAGCATAGAGACAATATTTTGGTTAGAATGAAGCTCTAAACAGTGACTAGTGACTTTATTATATTAAAAATTAGGTAACATGCATGTGGGATAAGTAGATGTGAAATTGCATTTTCCTACCCAATAAAGGGCATCTCAAGAAGTTCTCTCCACTGAGAAAGGGCAGGCAGAGTTGGACACCCTTTCTTACCATGAGAGCCCTGCCAACAAGGATTTTCTGGCGGCAGGGCCCACAGATGAGGAGAGACTGGGTTAAGGACAAACTTCAGGGGAACAGCTTTCTGCAGTTGGGAAGAGCATATATGTTCTTCCCAGCTCACTGAGCAGCCGAAATGAGACCTGGAATAGGTCATAGTATTGCATTGCTTAGAACACTTGAGAAAAACAGACAGGGATATAGGCTGTCTCTTAGTGCCTGACCACACTCTGCTCCACTCACTGGCATCCTTGCTTTTCCTGGATATATAATTTGTGTTCATACGTTATAAACCAAAAGAATGCCAAGGCAAAAGTGAGGATAATGTCAAAAAGAACAATTTTATTCAGGCCTCCCTTGTTCCCATTTTTATAATGATTAATCGTAAGCTTTTAAAAAAACTAAATCTTTATTATTGAAAATATTACATATGTTCCCCTTTGACCCCAATCACACAATATAAGAAAATCACAGTGAGCCTCAGTATTCACTCTTACACACTTTTTTTTCACTCTTACACATTTGAGGTTGGTCTAAGGTAAATGTTTTTAGTACAATTGAAAAGGTATTCAGGGATTACTTAAAAAAATAGAAGTATAATCAATACTGATGAATAAACACTTTTTCTTTTACTACAGGTAATCAGTTTTGTTTAATCTTAAATTATAAAATCCACAGCTGTATCTGTTTGTTTATAGATGGGTGGACAGTCATACATTTGTGTCATGCATTATAATTTTCCAAAGCATTTTCACTCACATTATCTTCTGCGTACGCGATCTCTGATTCTGGCGAGAAGAGCCGTATGAGGCAGCCAGACAAATTCTGTTTGCATTTCACACAGCAGGAGGGAGATTAAGCAAGGCCTATGTAACTTGCTCAAAGTGAAGCAATGACTGGGATTTTGTGAGTTTCATTTCAGTGATATTCGGCATTTATCATGTTGCTTTTCACTATATTATGATGATTGTCCAGCTTAATTCACAGGATTTTCTTTTTTTTTTTTTTTTTCAATAAATTTTATTGATTTTTTACAGAGAGGAAGGGAGAGAGATAGAGAGTTAGAAACATCGATCAGCTGCCTCCTGCACATCTCCCACCGGGGATGTGCCCACAACCCAGGTACATGCCCTTGACCGGAATCGAACCTAGGACCCTTCAGTCCGCAGGCCGACGCTCTATCCACTGAGCCAAACCGGCCTCGGCCACAGGATTTTCTTGACGAAGCTGGTTAAACGGACTCCACCAACAACTCACCAGTCTAAAGGGTCAAATATTTTCTCACAATTCACACATGATCTGATTACTTATGTCCCAAGTGAACAACCTACTCTCTGGGTACGGGAAAACATGATCAGAAGATGCTTAGCCATTACATTATTCTAACAAAGAGCCATCTTTCACACCTTTCCAAGTGAAAAGAAACTTCAAAAAAGTCCCAAACAAAAACCCTAAGTATGCATGTTATCAGGTCCAGGTTGAGTACTGTTCTTCATTGTGGTAAAGAATGTTGGCTGGAGTCCTTTCACCTAAAGATGGGTCAGATCTTTGGCAGAACTCTAGAGGGAGCAGAGGATGAAACCCAAAAGCTCAGCTTTCTGGATGGTGCGGAAGATTCAACGAGTTCTTTTCTGTTTCTGCGTCTGTTGGCCAGGAGACCTGAATATGATAGGGCTTCAGGTCCTCGGGAGGGATAAAATCTGGGGCATCGCTCATGAGGTCCTGTCCCCGGAAGGACTTTGGGAAGGCTATGACGTCTCTGATGCTTGGCGCTCCCGTGACAAGGCACATCAGTCTGTCTAACCCTGTGAGTAAAACAGTTCACAGATGAGAATGTAACCTGCGGGTGGGAGTGGCTTCGTTTTTCTACAAAGGTTACAGAGAACCTTTACATAAGAACCTTTACCAAGCTGCACCCAGTGAGGTTACTTTTATCTCACTTTAGAAAAATGCTCAGGACTGAAAAATAGTTACATCGACTGGGATGCATAGTGACAGCAGGTAATACCCTTAGCAAGGGCTTACTAAAGGCTAAACAAAATTAGGTGCTGTGTAGGAGTCTCTAAGAACACAGGCGGTCCCTGTGGTTGAGGGTCCACAATCTAGTGAACTTTCCACACTCTTCCTTGATAAAAGAAGCAAGGTGAGCATCCTCGTCCATCAGAAGGGCCCTTGCACATTCCTACTCACACAAGCTGGGGCTAGGCAGCAGGGCTTCCAGGCGCCTACCAAGGTGTCTGAGCCCCCAGGAATTTGAGCTAAGACCATAGAGTTCCATTCTATTAATCTTTCAAATGCAAATGATGAGTTAAGTTTTAGCTTTATAACGGTAAATAAAAACGAAACATGAAATCTGTAGAACCCTTGGGCTCAATCCCTATCTCCTTTATTCCTCCATCCACCACCCCCCTTAAGCTGAGCCCAAATTTCAGCACAGTGAATGAAATTGGGCTTGTAAAAAGGGCAGACTGTTTACCTAAGGCAATTCCTCCATGAGGGGGCGCCCCGTAATCTAAAGCCTGGAGCAGGTGGGAGAGCAATTTCACATCTTCCTGAAATTCAAAAGATAATTCCATTTAAATACATACTGAGGGTCCACTAAGCGCCACAGTGCATTTAGGTGTGAAAGGGAAAACAAAGGTGAGTTAAAAAAGACCTCAAGAGGTTTAGAGTAGAGCAAGGTGATGTGACAAGTCACAGATATTAAAACATGCAGTGAAATGCCTGGTGCTCAGTAAATGCAGCTATTATACTGATAATGCAAACAGTAAGACCAAGGATATGGCTCCAAAGGTTAGGATGAAAGCAGGGAATTGTCCTGTCAAGGGACTAGGGGGGATATTAGGAAGCAACAGTGTCAAATGCTGCTGGGAGGAAGGAGAGATTAAGGGCAAAGAACGGGCCATTGAATTTGGTGACCAAGAACAGACCACTGGATTTGGGTATTCATTTGGGAATTAAACGTGTCAGTGCCTATGAAGTATTTAAGCAGTGCCTGGCATATAGTAAGCACTGCCAGTTATTACCTACTTTTCAAAGACTTACACTGAAGGTAGAGAGAGAAGCTGCTACTATCCTGTATCTAGTGAATCCTCCATTCATTACAAATTTTAACGGACACAAACAAGGCCAGGTTAGAACATGTTACCTTCAGTAACGTTTCCAGGATGTAGCGCTGGAGTGGTGCATCATGGATTCGGATAGAGCCGCCTCCTACTTCACTGCCGTTTAAAACCAAGTCATAGTGCTGGCTACGGACCTACAAGATGCAGAGTCTCGACATTAGAGAATGTTAACTACTGACTCAAACCGACGGTTTCTGCTGGGGCTTCCAGAACTGGGTCAGACTGAAATCTGAAGTTCTTTGTTTTTTCCCACAGTTCCTTTGATTTGCAAGCACAGATGTGGTACCTTTTCGGGCTCAGTGTGGAGAAGGTGGATATCACTGGGATGGGGAGCCGTGAATGGGTGGTGGGCTGACTCCAGCTCCCCGGGGTTTCCCTCCTTGGGAAGGAAGAGTGGGAAATCCACCACCCAAAGGAAAGAGAACAGAGCTGGGTCACGGAGCAGCACTCCTCTTGCTTCTAGAAGGTCAGCACATTCCAGCCGTAATTTTCCCAGCAAGGAGCACTGCAAACAGAAGGTAGGAACACTGAGGTAACTGCTGGGACAGAGTCGTCAGCAATGACGGATATGGATTCTAAAGCCAGGCCATCCTCTGAGAAAGGATTAGCCAAGTAATAGAAGACACACTCAATGGTCCGAGAAGGACTGTCACCCTCAGTGATTGGGGAAGGGAGAGCACAGGTACCAGCTTGATGGCCCTGAGTCTGATCTGTTTGCTACTAACATCTCTGCATCCTTTGCCACAGTGAAATGGAGATAAAAGTATTTATTCCAGAAGGCTGTGGTGACAACACAGTGAGGTAAGACATGTACAGTGCAAGATCATGGGCACCTACTCCCATGATTTCCTTACTGCCCTGAAGGGTGTGATGAGGATCTGTGGTCCACTAAGCGCCACAGTGCATTTAGGTGTGATGAAGGGTGTGATGAGGATCTGCGGAGTGCCTGGCATGTACTTAATGTTCAACGATGCTTGCTGCTAAGAGAAAGGCAGGGTGGATTAGAGGTTAACTTCAGAGTACACCTTTGGGAACCAGACTGAGAATTAGGAATAAAATCTGGCTCCTCCACATCCCAGCTGTGTGTGTGTGCAAATTTTTAACTTCTCAGCCTCTGTTCTCTTTACAATAGTAACAGTAGCGGTACTTCCTGACCTTTACAGTATAGTTCCGGTATTTGTTTGACTTCTATACCACTTCTGCATATTTTACAACGGCCCATTCAGCTACATCCAGTCTGCTGTGTTTCTGCTGAAGAACAGTGAGTTGGCCAGTGCCTGGCAGCCCTCACCAACTCCCAGCGGCTGCTCCAAGGAAGAGGATCCTGCCATGATCAAGTAGGGCCAGGTGTCTGCCAGCCAGCAGCCCTCCAGCAGTCTGACCTGTCCTCCACATTTTCAGGAATGCATTATGTATAAAAGTTAGTGACTACCAAATTTTCTTAATTTGCAAAACTTTGAACATATTTTTTCATAGTTATACATCGAGTCCCGACAGCTCTCTACCTAAGTGGCTTTCCTAATCAGAACCACAGCCAGCCTGTGAGCAGTGCCCATGGAGGCTAGTGGCCAGGAAGAAACTAGTTTTTAAACAGTGCATTATAAAGTGCTGAAAGACATTTACTCATATATGCTCTAGCCGGTTTGGTTCAGTGGATAGAGCGATGGCCTGCAGACCAAAGGGTCCCGGGTTCGATTCTGGTCAAAGGCATGTGCCTCAGTTGCAGGCTCCTCCTCCCGCTCCTGGTGGGGTGCATGCAGGAGGCAACCAATTGATGTGTTTCTCTCACATTGATATTTAAAAATCAATGGAAAAATATCCTCGGGTGAGGATTAAAAAAAAAAAAGATATTTACTCATATAAAAACTCATGCAGAGCAGCTCCATTTAATAAAATTAACAGTCAATTTCAAATGTTTACTAATTGCACAGGAGAAGAGGGTTCCATTCAACCCCAGCAGCACTGAGCGTGGAGGTAACTTCTCTTACTGCTCTCTTGTGCTCTCCGGCCGTTAGCAGGACCACGTCCTCCTCCTGGTTCTCCATTCGTCTGATCAGGCCCAGTCCTTGCTCCTCCATCACAAGCTTAGCAACCGGAGAATTCCAGTTCCTATTGGCTTTCAGGAACACAGGTAAGACTTCCTGTGATAAAAAGATTAAAATTTTTCAAAAAAGTGGGGTTTTCTTATAGTACAAAGATTTCTTGTTCCCAATAGAAGAAAACTTACATGAGATTATCTCTATTCCCTCCTGAACCCCTTCAAAATGATACTAAAGGAATTTAAAAAGCAATCTCATAATGAAAAACAAAGAGAATGAAGGGTCAGGAGGGATGTCAGTAGATGAGATTTCTGCAAATTTTTGGCAAGTTGCAAGTGAATGGAGCATAAAGTCTTATATTTTAGATCCTTTCTTCAAAGTATCACTGATTTTAATGACTCAAAAAAAACAAGCCCTGGCTGGTTTGGCTCAGTGGATAGAGCGTAAGCCTGGGGACTGAAGGGTCCCAGGTTCGATTCCAGTCGGGCATGTACCTTGGTTGCGGGCGTGTCCCCAGTGGGGGATGTGCAGGAGGCAGCTGATTGATGCTCCTCTCTCATCGATGTTTCTAACTCTCTATCCCTTTCCCTTCCTCTCTGTAAAAAATCAATAAAATATATATATATAAAAAAAAACCCCCAAAACCACATGACTATGTTTAAAGTCATTGATTCCAAAATGGCCGAGGCAGTTTCCACTTTTTGTGAGAGTTAAAAATGCCCATTTCCACTCCTGCTCCTCCCGTTTTAGCTCTACCATTAACCAAGCCCAGAAGACAGGTGTCTATCAAAGTTGTATTCAGAATTTTTAAAAAGGGTACAGGAGGAACAATAAATTCAGGCTTTCCTTCAGGCCCGCCACCCTTTCATTTACATCTTGGGCACATGGGGCTCTATTTATTTTCCTAACCAGATTAAAGTACTGTTGTTTATTTTAAAAAGCTATGGTTGAACTTCCATTCTGATTAACGGTGAGTTCAACTAAGAGGTAAGGTTAAGTTTAAAAATAAAAAGGAAAAGTAGAAGAATGATCTGAAATAACAAGATCCTCAAAACTAACATTGGTGAAAGAGCTCAAGCAATTATTAGTTAAAAATATTGAATCCCTAAAAGACAGGAAAAAACCTGCTCTAATTAATCCTTACCTGATCAAAATGGTCAGCTGCAATTTTCCTAATGGATTCAATGTCTTTCCTTTTTAAGTATTTCTGATGAAAGAAAATCAAAGTAAACTCAACAGTATGACACTTAGCTTCATAAACATGTTTATGATAGCAAAGGGAATACAAATATATTTTGTGTCTTTCCATCACAAGAGTAGGATTAAATACAAATTTAATTTCTGCTGTCAAATAACGAAAACTTAAAGCTTGTTATAGGGCTTATTTTTTTCCAAACACTGTATGCAAGTCTCACTGGGAATAGCTGTGCATGTATTCCAGGTAATATGCAGGATAAATGTTCCAAATTAATTTTTACATTCTGAATTGTGAAAGAAAATATAACTTTCAGGTCAATATGAAGATTCATAATTTAATTATTTCAGATCTCTTAAAATTCTTTATATCTTACTTTTTGTAAATTATCTCAATGTCTTTCTAAGTAAGACAATGTCATCATAACTAATATTCATGGGCCACTTAAATAGGTATGGGAGATACACAGAGGAGGAGTCAGGGTTCATGACCCACCAGGTCTGATCAGCTACTTGGGAAAGAATGGACATCCTCAAATTGGGGTAAATAATGACAACAATATATGTTGTACAGAGCTCATCTGAGTACATTCATTCTGTCTGGACTAGGGTATGGACACCACATTACTTTCCACTGGACAGATGAAGTAATTAAGAGACTGCATTCTTATCCCCAGGTTGAATATACTTAATATGCTTATATATCCGAATGAGTAGTCTTTCAAAATAGTAATCTTATTCAAGACCCAACATGCAAGGGTTATGCTGGGTTAAGCTGAGAGCCTCTGGACAAACCGAGGCTGGAGACAGAATATGAATACGATGTTATGCTCATCACTAGTGGAAATGACCCCAAATGAAGCAAGTGTACTTTACAGCAATGTTTAAAAGGGGAAAAAAATAAAAAAGCTCTAGATCTTGAGTATAAAGTCATATTCATCAGGTTTTATTGTTCTCCATATTTTTAGGGACACTTTTAGACTTTACATAAAGATATGTAAGTATTGCCGAAACCGGTTTGGCTCAGTGGATAGAGCGTCGGCCTGCGGACTGGGGGTCCCAGGTTCGATTCCGGTCAAGGGCATGTACCAGGGTTGCGGGCACATCCCCAGTGGGACATGCGCGGGAGGCGGCTGATCGATGTTTCTCTCTCATCGATGTTTCTGACTCTCTGTCTCTCTTCCTTCCTCTCTGTAAAAAATCAATAAAATATATTAAAAAAAAAAGATATGTAAGTATTCATTTTTTTAAAAAACAATTTTTGAGTTTATTTGAATAGATTATATTCCCATTTAAAGAGGACTGTCCTTTCTAAAGTTTAGACATGCCCATGTCGAATATATTTACTCCCCATAAACAGGTTCTAGAGAACACACAGAATTGTGCCTCACTTACTGCTCCTTCAGGGATGCGTATGGCTTTGACAGTTCCTTGGGGTTTACTAAGTGCATCTTGAAGAAATCCAACCTCTGTGCTTCTGAACACATCACTGATGTCTACAATCTGGAAAGTGGGTTAAAAAAAGGGTAACTAAAACATTTATAAACAAGTTTTTAAAGAAAATAGAGCTGTTAACATCTACAAAGTGCATTCATGTAGAGTGATAGTCATGGATGGGCTGGGCACTATGGCTGTGCTAATGTACTCTTCAATAGTATTAATTCATCTCATCCGTAAAACAAAAGTATAAGGGAGGCACTCTTATTATCCCCATTTAATAAATGCAAAAACCAAAGCACAGAGAAGGCAAAAACTTGCCCAAGATGACACAGCTAGTAGTGGCAGAAGCACAACTGAAGCAGTCTGACTTAAGAACCACTATTCCATATTCCGAAACAAGAAACAAGGAGTGTTTGTTTTGGAATATTTAAATTTTTGTTTTTTGGCATCAGCTGTGAGTAGGCAGTTAGGACTTTGTGTAGCAAATGTTTTTCAATCTAAGAACTGAGCACTGCCTATTTGTAGACGAGGCAGGACTCAATTTCTGAGGGACCTGAACTGAGAACAGATGCGGTAATGTCACCAGCATCACACAGACAAAGGGCTGTTGCTCTCTAAGAGCAAATAATGAGAGGCTTGCCAACGGAAACTGCACCACGTACATCCTCCCCTGACCCTTATAGTTAAATATGTATTGACCTTAATAATTTGAAAAAATTTTCCATAGGTTTGAGCTCTTTTAATACCACAGAAAAGGGATAAATATCTCTTAATGGCCTTCCAAGTGCCATTTTAGTTGGCTTAAGAAAAATTAAAGAGGAAAGAACAGGGTTTTTTTGTTTTTCCTTTCAAGTTATCATTTGTGTCCATATAATTGATAATTTATCAATAATATAAACTTTATAGCAAGAATCTTGCTGTCTGAAAATTGGTTTTGGAACATAGTAGATAAAGGTATTGCGATGCTAACAGACTATTATCCTCTCTTGCTGTAGCTCCAAAACAACACAGGTAACAAGCTAAGGCAACAACAGAAAATATGATACAACAGTGTGTGCAACTGGTTGTAAATTTCAGAGTGGTTCAAAAGACTGCAGGACTATTGGGGGCAGAGATCTGGGAAACTGAAGCATCGAAAGTACCTTCATCCCAAAGCGAGTGTCGGGTTTATCAGTTCCATAGCTGGCCAAAGCCTCAGCAAAAGTCATAGAAGGAAAAGGCACCCCTACATGCCCTTTGTCACTGGGCCAGGAATACTGCAGCAAACCCTCAATTAGACTCCGGATCCCGGTCTGGTCTACAAAAGACATCTCTATGTCAATCTGAAACCAAATAACACATGGAAACTAACTGGAACAGCCATAATATCACTATGTACATATTCATATATTTCTCTGTTTTAAGTTACTACAGGATTCTGGACATAAGTGCTTAATACATGGAGGGAATTAATATTATTGTACATCTGTGTGTTTAATTTTTTTTTTAAATTTCAGAGAAGGAGGGAGAAAGAGATAGAAACATCAATGATGAGAGAATCAATTCGCTGCCTCCTGCATGCCCCTACTGGGGATAGAGTCCGCAACCCAGGCATGTGCCCTGACCAGGAATTGAACTGTGATCTCCTGGTTCATAGGTCGACGCTCAACCACTGAGCTACACTAGCAGGGCTGTACATCTGTTTTATGTCAGGTACTGTGCGAATGCTTACATACATCATCCCCTTGGTTAGTTCCTATAACTACCCATGCCTCATGCAGCTAAGTCACTTGCCCGTGTATGTACAGCTAGTAAGTAGTAAAGCTATACTTGATCCCAGGCTGTTCACCTTCAAAACTTATGATTTTTGTGCTTCATCACAGATTCATATGCTACCAAACAGAAACCAAATCATAGCAGCTCATGAGTGCCCAGAGTAGGCAGAGTAAAAATCAACATACAGAACTTTAGTCCTTAATGTACAAGAGGTTTTTTAAGAACTTTATCATGACTATGAAAATGCTATGGGATCTTTGGCATCCCTTAGTTGGTGGCCAAAATCCTTATAAAAATGACATATGAAATATGTCAAAAGTTAAATAATGAATGCCTCCACTGTAGGCCAGTTTCACTAAATATCTGATGGATAAGATGTAATGAGAAGTCTATCTGACTACTGTCCTGGTCTGGAGACACTGGGCTGCAGTGAGGCTGCATGAGTAAGAGACAAGTGAATATAGCTTTGTACCTGCGTAAACTCAGGCTGTCTGTCTGGCCTTGAGCCTTCATCTCGATAACATCTGGCAACCTGAAAATATCTACAATAGAAAAATAGCATGAATTGAGTCATGATTCTAATAAGACACACATTTCCCCCAAAATTCATGGCTGTGTAGGCTATGAGATAAATTAATTATAGTACCTAAAGGGCATATAAGAAATTTAAAAATTTATTATGACGCCCTAATCCAGTGGTCAGCAAACTGCGGCTCGCGAGCCACATGCGGCTCTTTGGCCCCTTGAGTGTGGCTCTTTTTGCGAGCCGCAGTTTGCCAACCACTGTCCTAATCTAATCAGGTACATACACAGCTGACCCAGAATTCAACTATTCTATATATTGCTTTAGAAATATACAATGGGACCTTTGGATATTTACATATGAGACTGGCATGCAAGGCAGTTCATGCTTCTTCACACAGACTCTTGTGCCTTGGCCAAATTGAACTACTTGTTGCTCCATGAATACACTTGAGCTTTCCTGTGCTATGCCATTCAACTTTCAACTCAATCTGCTAAAATGAACTCTGTCCCAGGAGACCCAGCTCACATATACGTCCCAAACAATATAATTTCAAACCTCTTAACATCTACCCTGCAACTCTCAATGCACTCCTTTTTTGTTTATCTCAGTTGGTTTTATTTATTATCCTATTCTGTCTAACTAGATTCATTAATTCCTTGAGAGCAAAAGCTATTCTGTTTTGAATCCCCTGCCACGTTTACTAGCTTATAGCTCTGCACACAGTGGCCACCCAATAAATCTTTACTAAAGAATGACTACATATTTTTAGAGTGTTCTGCATATATTTCCCAAATGCTCATACATTTTCTAACCTTCTTTTAAGAGTTCAGGTAGCCCTAGCTGGTTTGGCTCAGTAGATAAGAGTGTTGGTCCGTGGATTTAAGGGTCCCCAGGTTTGATTTCCGGTCAAGGGTAAATGCCCAGATTGCAGGCTTGATGCCCAGTAGGGGGCGTGCAGAAGGCAGCCTATCAATGATTCTCATTATTTTTTAATTTTTTTGTTAATCTCACCAGAGGATATTTTTCCATTGATTTTTTTTTTTTTTTTTTTTTTAGAGATAGTGGAAATGAGGTGAGACAGAGAGAGAGAGAAACATTGGTTGGCTGCCTCCTGCACGCTTCCAGACCAGAGATTGAGCCTGCAACTGAGGTACGTGCCATTGACCAGAATCGAACCCGGGACCCTTAATTCCTCGCTGACACTCTATCCACTGAGCCAAAACGGCTAGGGCCTCTCTCATTATTGATGTTTCTATCTCTCTCTCCCTCTCCCTTCCTCTCTGAAATAAAAAAATATATTAAAAAAAAATGCAGGCAACTTTTTTTCCTTTTCCCTTTCCTGTCCCACTTTTCCTTTCCTGACAACTACTAACATAATGAAAGCTCACCTGTCTAAACCACCAACCATCAGAAGCTGCTTAAACTGTTGTGGACTCTGAGGGAGAGAATAGAACTTTCCAGGTTCCCTGGACGGTATCACAAACTCTTTTGCACCCTTTTAATGAGAGAGGGGTGGGGAGGGAGAGACAGGAGACATTATTAAAAACAAACAAACCCAAGAACTGGTGGAAGCTGACACTTCAGCTCATCAATGAACTAAATGATGCAATGAGCAAAGTCCTCAAATGACAAATCATTTCTTGTTCACCTTTTAGTCCCCTAAAGGCTTGCACACAGTAGGCTTTAAATGTTCGGATATAGTAGGTATTAAATGTATGCTTGTTGAAATGAATTCTCAATTCCTATTCACATAATTCCTACCTGCTTTTTAAAATTAAACTACAGTTTTATAAGTCCAGATATTGTATAAATAGATTGAACATCAAGGTTTAGAAATGTCAGTTCTTAATGAACAAGGGATTTATAGTTAGGGAACCAATTCATTATTGATCTGCATCTATAAAACTCAAAACTCAAATAGAATACAAAGATTTTTATCTCAAAATATTGACCCATACTATTTTTTCAACTCCCTTTTCTTTTAAGGAAAAATATAGTTTAACTAAAGGACCTAAAGCAGTGATGGCGAACCTTTTGAACCCGGCATGTAAGCATTTTGAAAAACCCTAACTTAACTCTGGTGCCGTGTCACATATAGAAATTTTTTGATATTTGCAACCATACTAAAACAAAGACTTATATTTTTGATATTTATTTTATATATTTAAATGCCATTTAACAAAGAAAAATCAACCAAAAAAATGTTTCTGTGTCACCTCTGACACGCGTGTCTCCCAGATTAGTTCATCTACCTCACATTTGTTGCACGCAACTCTTTTTGTAAAAAAATTAAATTTATTGGGGTGACGTTGGTCAATAAAAATTATAGGTTTCAGGTGTATAATTCTCTATAATACATCGTTTGTATATTGCACTGTGTGTACACAAGTCAAGTCTCCTTTCATCACCATTTATCCCCTCTTTACCCTCTCCCACCCTGCTTTTGCACTCAACTCTTCAACATCACTATGAACCGAATGGCTAGAAGATGCTATTTTACTTGTTCCTAAGCTGCTTTTAGCATTTTCCATGTGAAAAGGTTCATCCTGAATTAAAATGCCCGGGAAACCCAATGTAAATCCAAGGATTGGGGAGTGTGTTGGGTCTTGGAAACTGTAGCCTATGAACCCCTCTTAAGTGAATACAATTGAGACCTAGAGAACACAGGGCTACAATGCGTGCTCAGACCTGGTTCAACGAGCTGCTGTACCCAAAGCAGTAGGTGTGACTTCTGCTCAGCCCTAAGTCCTGTTTTCTCTCCTAGACCATGGAGCAGGGATGGCGAAACCCCAACTCCGAGTTCCTAAGGCCCTGCTGCAGGTGAGAAGGGCAAGCTCAGGGTCTTTAAGTGTCCACCTCAGTTGAGGGAAGGATACACACTGGGGTTGGGGTTGGGGGTGCAGCGTGGGCCTTGGCAACAGGATCCACTCACATCCCCAGAGAGAAAATGGAATGTGAGCAGGTGAGATGCAGACGGGGCTTTGCCTGCTAGCACCTCTGCTTCACTGGCAACTTTCTCAGCTCTTAAGAAAATCTGGATAATGTGATTATCTTGAGGCAGTAAAAGAAGTAAAACCAAGTGAATATAAATGCAAAGTGGTCCAGTTTCCTAACTAATAGCACATTACAGTAGGTTCATACGTACTCCTGGAGTCCTCTTAAACAATGTTGGTGTTTCTACATCCACAAACCCTAAAAAGAGAGAGACATTTGAATTTAATAGATACAATTTGTCAAATATGATGTTTATGGTATAGTACAATAATCTGAGGCTACCCTTAATTAGGAATTTTGACTGAAAAAGTTACCACGCCCACTGAAGCTGGTTTCTATAAACCCAAGAAGAAAGCTGAACATTTTCATGAAATCCTATTCTGTTCATAAAGTTGATACTTTTGTAAGGAAATAATTCGTACTTGTCTATGAACTGTTTTGTTTTTTTAAATATTCTGCTAGCATAGCAAAAATAACATAAAATACATAAATATAGTAGGAAAAGATCCCAGGACTAATTAAAGAGTCAAATTTAATTCCCATGACATTTCTGAGCTCACAACAAATGCTACTTAAGCATGACAAAGAATTTAAAAAACTTACAGGTGTAACAACCAAAGGGCTGTCTGACCTTCAGTAGTAATGGGAAATACTTAAGGTAACATGCACTATCACCTTTAAAAGGCTGCATCTGTGATCCAGTAGGGAGCGAAATTATGCTCTAAATTACTAAATTATGCTTTAGGACAAAACACCTGGAAATTAAACTTCAAAAACTGCTTTATACATTAAGTGAATTCCAGACCTCTGGCAACATCAGACCCAATGATGCTAAGGCGAGGATACAGTAAAACTGCTGAACAGAAGAGATGCTAAAAGGCTCCAAGAACATGCAGGCATCTCCCTTACCATGTAGATTACAGAGATATTCCCGCATTTTCATGACCATCTGGGACCTCAGCCGCAGGTTATACTGCATTTGGGAACTGCGCAAGTCTAAGTAGCGATACTGCAAACGAAGAGCCTCTGTTTTCTAAACAAATTAAAAGATTTTTATGTTTAAATATTTTTTCAAATATTAACAAGATACTAACTTTAGATACAGAGTGTGAAATTTCAAAAACTTTATCTTTAGCTCCCACCATTTGGATATACACCGCCACCCTTGATTCCTACCACTTCTAAGTTTGTTACTGGCACAGAGCTTACATTTTTTATTCATGACTAGAGGCCTGGTGCATGAAATTCATGCACAGGTCCCTAGGCCTGGGTTAGCGATCAGGGCCGATCTGTGGGGCGACTGGCAGGGTGACCAGGGAGCCCCCGCTGACACCTCTCTTGGCCGGCCTGGGGCCTGCGGGCTGGGGGCAGCTCCTGCATTGAGCATCTGCCCCCTGGTGGTCAGCGCTCATCATAGCGACCAGTTGTTCCTCCGGTCATTCCGCCATTGGGTCGGCTTGCATATTAGGCTTTTATTATATAGGATTATTAATGTGACCCTTCACTGACTGAAATTTGCCTATCATACTAAACATTTATCCATTCAGTTAAACCTGTAATTGAGTCTTCAAAGATCTTTTTATAATATACACTAGAGTAAAAAACAACTACAACTTTATCACCTGAATGGGACTGAGAGTGTAAGAAATGCAAAGAACAGCAGAGGGACTTTCGCTTACTTTCTAGGCTGTAAATCTCTGTGCTGACAACTTTTTATTTTAAAAAAGGGCCTTTAAAGCCCTTTTCTTGGTGTAGCTTATTTCCTTGATACTAGAAACACAAGAACTGTCACTTATCTTTCTGAAAGATTAACTGGGTATTTCTCCCCACCTCCCCACAAGGCCAACTCTGTAATTACACTGCCTTTTCTAATTAAAAGATTAAGTATTGGGAACTTAAAATGGAAGACTAAGAGGCCTTGCAATTAATTTAAAAATCCCTGTATTGACCAGTTTACACACTCAGACTATGCAGGTCTACAACTATATATAATTGTGACATAGCTGAGATTTATCTGGGGGTGCATACGCAGTGCTGTCTAGCTTCATCAACCCCTCAAACTGGTAAAGAACATCCTGAATTACAGTAATACTTATATGCTTGGGAAATCAAGCCAACACTTTTTCACTGTTAGAGTTTTAAACTTAATAGATGCAAGATCTCCTATGCTATTTGGCCATGTCCAAGCTAGACATAAATTTCCTTTCAAAATGTAAACAAGCAGCAAAAAGACATGAACACAATAACACCCGAAGTAAGAGAAGAGAGAGAGAGAAACATCGATGTCAGACACATCAATTGGTTGCCTCCTACACATGCCCCAACTGGGGCCAAGGATTGAACCTGCAACCCAGGTATGTACCCTTGATCGGGAATCAAACCAGAGACCCTTTGTGCCCCAGTGGACACTACCCACTGAACCACACTGGCCAGGGCAATAATAACACAAGTCTTAAAGACAGAATCATGTTTCAAGCTGTCTGATAAGCAGTCCACCTGTTTAGGAACTCCAGCAGCTTAATGAATTGTCATTATTTAAGAAGGGTTCATCAAGAAATTATGGAACTAACAATTCATGATACATCTATAACAACATGCTTAATGCCATGGAAGTTAAAGTTTTTCTTAAAACTTGAAAACATTTTATTGGTCATCAACATTCTCTAGATACTCTATCCTATATAATAAGAGAGGAATATGCTAATTAGCTGTTACACCTTGAGGCGTAACGACCAAGTGCTTCACGACCTGTCGAGTAAGACTCCCTCCACGTTCTGCATGGAGTAGGGTTTGGTGTCTGAAAGAGGAGCACTATTATTATCTAAATTAACTGAGTGGTTCCTGGATTAACTGGGTGCTGCACAGCCCTGACCTTTGCCAGGACTTTCAATGACTACTAGCTTTTGGGGCGTGTCTGTCTAAACTCAGCTAGTGAAGACAATAAATGGACTCCGGCAATGACGAGGTCACAGATCAGCAGGAGGGTGGGCCAGCGAGGTACAAGCAGGCTTCGGAGAGCTATAGGAGGGGGCAGGGCAGCAAGCTATGAGGGGGGAGAGGGGAGGGGAATTACAGGAGGGCGGGGCAGCAGGTGGAGAGCTACAGAAGGGCAGCAGCAACCTACTGGCGCATGGATTCATGTGCAGGGCTACTAGTTTTATTAATAACAGAGGATGGCACCTTCATAAAGTCCTTAATTTCAAAGGGCAGCTTCTTGCACGGATTCAGAAGTTCAGCCGTTTTAACCTTGATTTCAATGTCACCTGTTGGCATTTTCTTAAAGAGAGAGAGAAGAGACCTATTTAAAAATTTACTCATCAGGATATGTAAACAGTGAACATTTGTAAAATACATTATTTACTTATGTATGTAAAGTACACAGGTGCTTAGTGTGTAGTCTAAATGTCTATACATGCCCTAGCTGGTGTGGCCCAGTGGACAGAGTGTCATAAATGTCTATACATGATTTTGACATTCTTATGCATACCTGTGGCTGATATGATCATTAACAAATATCTTAACATGCATATTTATATCAGTGTGTGTATTTATAGTGAAGATTTTGAAATCTGCAGGTTCATTCATAGAACTTACAGAGCTTTAGTGCCTGATGTCCAATAGGTGCTCAGCCTCTGTTACCTGAATGTGTAGACAGACAGTGCAAGTGTATACGGTGAAATTTACACAGATACAGTGTCTAAACTACTAACTGGGTTCTCTTGTCCTGGAGGCCGGGAAACCACTGTCCCAGACACTTGCACCACAGATTCCATGGGGGCGTCACATAAAATCTTCTTCACGGAAGCAGCGGACTACAGAAAAAGAGGGGGAAACAGTTCCAAGAAACACATGAATTTAAAGGAACCTGTGCTAACTCTAGTCTATGGTTTAGAAAAATGATAATACTCAGAGCTTAATTGCTGTAAATACTGGGGCTGCCCTTAATGACTTTATTAAAGAACTTGGTAAACTGCCTGACAATTTTGACTCCAGTTAATACAGCAAGTCAAACTCTTAACTAAGAGTGTAACAATGTTTTTCTTAAAGGGAAATAAGGAAAGAAATGATTAATGCAAACAAAAATCCCACATACATACTTGAAAGGCAACTATTTCCAGAGTTAGTCTTCAGGTCAGTTAAGTCCCACAGCAATAATGGAGTCTAAAGGTCAGCTATGGCCCTAACCGGTTTGGCTCAGTGGATAGAGCATCAGCCTGCGGACTCAAGGGTCCCAGGTTCGATTCCGGTCAAGGACATGTACCTTGGTTGCGGGCACATCCCCAGTAGGGAGTGTGCAGGAGGCAGCTGATCGATGTTTCTAACTTTCCATCCCTCTCCCTTCCTCTCTGTAAAAAATCAATAAAATATATTTAAAAAAATAAATAAATAAAGGTCAGCTATGCTCATTTCTAGGTCCTGAGATAATTCATTGCTTTTATTTCAAACACTAAAAGCTGAGTAAATAAATTTTTTCTTAGGCATACAAGCATTACAATAGAAACCAATGTTGCCCAACAACTATGATGAGAGAGCTTTATTTCATCTAATCGTAATAATTATTTTTAGCAAGTAGTACCTTCACAAGGCTCAAACTTCAAAGGAAACGAACAGATATACTGTGAAGTCTCCCTCCTATCCTTGCCCTTTAGTTTCTCTTCCCAGACACTCACGGATCCTTCCAGGGACACATCATGAAATACACACATGCACACCTCCTTTTTAATACAGATGATAGCACTCCTGTTTTGTTTCCTCTATCAACATACCTTTCTTTTTCCATATTAGTTCATAAAGAGCTACTTTAACCTTTTTACTATGGCTCTCAGGATGTGCATTTTTTATGTCACTGTCTTATTGGGGGAACAACTAGGTTTTTCCCAATTGTTTTGTTTCTATTAAAAATAATCCCGCAATGAAAAAACCTTATATTTATGTCAGTTTGCATTTGTGTAAGTCTAGGTGTAAGATGCTTCTAAGATAACTGACTAGAAGTGGAAGGGATGGTTGAAAGGATAGATGCACTTCTAGTTTTGATGTTGCCAAATTGCCCTCTATGGAACTAGTGCCATTTGGACTCCCTCCATGAATGTAGGAACACTTGTTTTCCCAAGCAGTGTGTTGTCAATCCGTGTGTCGAAAATAACAATTCTGTGTAGTTATCTCTCTACCTATGAGTGAGGTCGGGCATATTTCATACATCTAAAAGACATTTATATTTCCTTTTTCTTTTCTGTAAATTTTATGTTCATGTCCTAGGTTCATATTTCTGCTGGGTCACTGTTTTTGTTTTTAATTTGATCTATAGTAACCTTTTAGATATTAGCAAAATTAGCCCCTGTATTTGATGTGCTCATTAACAAATGTCTTATATTTATATAGGTGTATGTTTGTGATGAACATTTTCCCCCAGTTTGTCATTTGTCTCAATGTTGTTTGTATTTTTTTTAACTTTTTATTAACTTTTGAATTTCAAACCTCAAACGTATTTAGTTACCCTGACCACAGCATCAAAGAGGTTTTCAGTAACAGTAGGAAACCTTCCATTACCTCATCCTGAGGAATGAGAACTTGAACAAGCCCCTGGAAATCTCTTAACACCAGGAAGATGTTTTGCCTGATTAATGAAGAAAATGAACATGTTAGGATAAAATCTTTAAGCCCAAAATTTAAGCAGGCAAAGCAAACTAAACAAAAAAAAGATCCATATAATTTCTCACATTTATTATAATAAATAATATGTGTTTTTATTAACTACTAGTGTCCTGGTGCACGGATTCATGCACATTGAAAGGAAATTAATTACAAGAAATATTTTGATATTTTAATATCAATATTTGCGTCTTACTAATGAAAAGAAAATAGGATTCTACCGAGTCTCCTATCTACCTACTCCAGGACTTCTTGAGGATAAATGAGATGAGGCAAGGGAAAAAGCTTCACAAACATTTGGTTAAACTATAAAATGTTTGCACCTGGCTATAAAGCAAGTTGGGTTCCTGGGCTGAAGAAACTCCAAGGAAGCTAGTCACTAAGGAGAGGAAGCTGGGCGTTGCTATGTGATGTTATTACCCCGCGCCCACAGTGACCGTTTCTGGGCTGGGCTGGGCTGTGGGCTGCATTTTGTGCCATGGGGTCTTGGCAGTGTTGGCTGTGATTTGGTGTTGCTCCAGGGTGGTGGTGGAGCCCGTGTCCCACTTGGGGAAAGCTGAGCGTTGGTTTGTCGGCGCCAGGTCTGTGGTGCTGTTCATTTTTAAATGGCCAGTGCACATCATAGCTACTGATAGGATGGACAGACACTTAGCCTTTTATATATATAGATAGTCATGAAACTTTCTATGTAGCTTTTTTTTTTTTAATCCTCACCTAGGGATATGTTTATTGATTTTAGAGAAAGGAAGGGAGAGAGAGAGAGAAAAAAAAAAACATCGAGAGAGAAACATTGATGAGTTGCCTCTGGAATGCACCCTGACTGGGGATCAAACCTGAAACCTCAGATATATATAGATATTCAGCTAACTAATGTTATCCAGATGGCTTATTAATGAAAAGATTTAAAATATGTTTTAACTTTCATTGACCTTTTGGTATATGGAATGACACTCCAACCAACCGAGCCAGGGCTCTATGTAGCTTATTAATGAAAAAAAAACCCAAACAACTTCTTTTTGTTTTCAATTTTTATTGGCTATACTAGAGGCCTGGTGCACAAATTCATGCACGGGTGGGGTCCCTCAGCCTGACTGGTGATTAGGGCCAATTGGGGCTGGCTGGCCAGGGGGAGGGACCACAGGAGGTTGGCTGTGGGAGCTCACTGACCACCAGGTGGTAGCTCCTGTATGCTCAAAAGGTTCGCCATCACTGGCTTAGGTCTTTACAAGAAAATTTTATTAAATTTGAAAACTTTCCACATATTAAAATCCAAGAGAATATTTTAGGATACTAAAAACATCTGATTGGACATTTCTGAAGTACAACAATATAAAGCCTTTTCCTAAAAAAAAGATACAATCTAAAATTTTCTAGAGGAGGTCCAACTACTAATTTAATATCTCTGTAAACCATCAAAAGGTCCCCAAACCCCAACATTTTTAGCATTCAATCTACATTTTTCATATTGTCTTTACTACCAACAAGAGGTTCAGAAAGCCCCCTCTGATTTTTAAAATATATATATATTGATTTCAGAGAGGAAGGGAGAGGGAGAGATAGAAACATCAAGGATAAGAGAGAATCATTGATCTGCTGCTTCCTGCATGCCCCATGGGATCAAGCCCGCAACCCCAGCATGTGCCCTGACTGGGAATTAAACCATGACCTTCTGGTTCATAGGTCGATGCTCAATCAGTGAGCTATGCTGGCTGGGCACCTCCTCTAATTTTGAGAAGATAAAATCAACAAATTTCTGGGTCAAATGTCCATCCATTTGGGACATATTCTTTAGAGAGGTCACACTATCTATATATTTGGAACTCTTCAATGTGAATTACTGTATTATTCAGAAATGTTCTAGAATACAACAACAAAAGGGCTCTAATCTTAAAGAATCATGTTCTCTACCTAAATTTAGAATAAAATAAGCTTGTTCATGCTCTTGGAGCTTACTAGCTGGCCTATTCCCAATTACTAGTCCTTGGGAGTTTTAAACTAAAAAGTTAAATTCCGTGGCTGAAAGTCTTTTTTTTTTAATTTTTTAAATTTTTATTACAAAGGGTATCACATATGTGTCCAATTTTTCCCCCCCACCCTAGACAGTCCCCTAGCCTCCCCTATCCCCCAGTGTCTTATGTCCATGGCTGAAAGTCTTTTTAAAAGAAAGTGTTTATTAGGCCATTGCTACCAAAAAAAAAAAAAAAAAAAAAAACACAAAAAACCCCCAAAAACAAAAACCACAACAACACAAAAAAAGACTGGTCTTGGGGCATGGAGCAGCATGGTTAGATAGAAAAAAAAACAGTAGGTCCGTTATCCCCGAATTTTGCAAGTGTTTTTATACCTGAAACAGGGAGAAAGGTGTGACGCCTTAAATAAATGAGGCATGGGGCCCGCTGGCCTCACGTCTGACATGCTTGGAGCCGTTCTGAAAGAACGAACATTAGCTACAGACAAAGGGAATAGGTGAAGGTGAAGCAGGGCGACTATGGGCTGGGCACAGCAGCAGAGTCTGTAAAGCCCAGTTGTGAACAAGAAGCAGAGGCTGCTGGGGTTTGACAGGCCTGGCTCTTCACTCTTTTTATACAATCTCAGAAATAGCCACCTGAACGTTAATTAGAATTCCAACATACACTAAGGCCGTGGTCGGCAAACTGCAGCTCGCGAGCCACATGCGGCTCTTTGGCCCCTTGAGTGTGGCTCTTCCTAAGCCTTAGGAATACCCTAATGAAGTTAATACCAATGTACCTACCTATGTAGTTTAAGTTTAAAAAATTTGGCTCTCAAAAGAAATTTCAGTCGTTGTCCTGTTGATATTTGGCTCTGTTGGCTAATGAGTTTGCCGACCACTGCACTAAGGAGTGTGAGCAGTCTTTTGTTGGTTTTGCACTATAGCTGTTAATCAACTTAACCCCTTTATCTCTTCCTTCACCCTCTGACCTGCAGTAATTTAATTTAGGACATCTCAGAATTTTCTTGTCAGGAGACTTCAACTCTTGTAAGCCAAGGGGCATTTCTGTTCATTGGTGGATCACACTTCCTTATTATACCCTTCAACATGCTAGTGGTACTTACTTAGAGTAACACTATTTGGGCCTTTCAAAACAAAATGGCAAACGTAACGAATTTTGAGAATCTTGTAGGAGTTGCAAAGCTTTTACTCTTCTGACAACACTATGCATTCTTACACCGTCTGCGTCAATTTACCTTCGGTACTGAATCCATCCACACAAGGTGACTTCTTGGCCTAAGTGCGAAGCACGCAACTCTCCACACGTGTTGGTCCGGGCAACAAAGCTACTGAGTTCTAAAGAAAAAAGAAAAGAGCAAGATTAAAAATCTATTTCCAAACTGCTCAAAAATAAAGACTTCAAGTCGCATCATCTTAGGTATTTCATGTCCATGGATAAAATTTATAAAGTAAATCTAAGTTCGTAATTTGATTCAATTACTATTAAATCTTTAATGTCAAAGGTAAATGTGTCAAAAGCCAACTAAATAACTGTCTTAAATTTTTGCCTTATGTTAGGAAATCAAAATTTTTTTCATCACCAAGCATTTGCATTGACCGGTCCTAAAATTACCCTATTCTTAATAGCTCAGCACAGATCCTTCCCATACCCAATAGGACCTTAGGAATCACGGAAGTTGGATGGTGCAGTGACTAACTTTAGTGTGAAAGTGGAACAGTCACCATGTACACTTAAAAATTTTGAGATTTAGTAACATTAACTGAAAGCCTATCTATGTGGCTCATTTTCCGGTCTTTTTAAACTCCAGGAAAACAAACACTATAGTATAAGAAAGGAAGAGGGTGAATGATCTGCTTTTACATTTTGACCATCCATCCAGTTAAGACTAGCGGGGAATGGAGAAGAGGAGAAAGTGCGGTCCGGAGGCCACGAGCTCCTCACGGCTTTCACCTGGAACGCTCTGTCGTGAGCTCAGCTGCAGACTTCTGGATAGAGACCGCCCGACCAGCTGCACGATCCTTCCGGTGGGTGTGGCCAAACCCCTATTTAGCCCAGGTAACCAACGGGAGAACATGTTGAAGCCGCTGGAGGGCGAAACGCTCACGGATCCCACACTGCCGGTGCTGGACGGTGGTCAACGATCATTTTTGGAAATACACGCGAATCCCTTAAAATGCTAGGAGTTCCCACGTTCTGCTCCAGTATTTAAGCCCTTCTCCGATGATCATTCAAGTACACGTGTCTGGACACAGGATCGATTTACAAGGTCTTTGGGGTCCTTGGGGAGTGTGTAGAAGAAAGGCTTTTCTCCCCTTCTCCATGCATCAGTTTCCACTTCTGCTAACAAACACACCTGCGGCCAGATGTGCAAGGACGCGTCCTCACAGCAGCGCAAGAGGGAACCTCACGCCCAGGGAGAGACTGAAGGGGCCGGTCATCAAGCGCACGCCCTTCCTTTCCTTCCGCGCTTCCCCAAAGGCAGAACCGGGAAACAGGGAGAACCCAGCCTCGCGTTCCAATTCTGGCGCCGACCTCGGATATTCAAAAGGAGGAAGAGGGCAAATCCAAACGGTTGTGAGGGTCCGATTCTCCCGGCACGCGGCAGGGTGAGCCAAGCACTCCTCGAAGCGCTCGCGAGCGCCCAAGACTACGGTGAAGTCGATCAACCAATCAGAGCGGAGGCCCCGCCGCCATGCTTAGTGCGGCCGGAAATTGGAAGGAAAGCGTCGCGCCGGTGGGAAAGCCGCTGTCCGTCGCCGCGGGCTTTCAAACGTGAGGCTATTGGTTAGATTGCTCGAACGTGCCCTCAGTAAAAATGGCGACCGTAGTTGCTTCACTGACTTGGAATCGGCGCCCGGAAGGCTTCCGGCGTTGGGCCGCAGTGTGAGTCGGGAAACGATTTTAAACGAGGCGGCGGCGGCGGCTAGCGAGTGAATTGCGGATTTTCAACGGCGGCTTTTGGCGGCCGTTGGACTCCGGTGGAGCGTGCCAGGTGGGACACCTTGTCCCTTGCCCTTCCCCTCCGCGGGCAGAGGCCGACTCGGCAGGAGCGAGGGTCGCAGAGCTGGTGGCCGGGTCCGCGGAGCTGTCCCGCGGGGTGAAGTCGCGGCGCTCCCCCCGGCTTCCAAGGGAGCGGAAGCGTCTCCAGTGGGCCGGCCTCGCCCTTAGCCGCCCTTTGGGCGGCTTTTGTACCTCAGGGGATGTCAGTCTCGGCGACGTGCTGGCCCAGCTTTGAAGAATGACTCGCGACGCCGGCGTGGGGGACAGAGTCATCGCGGCACTTCACTGGTAAGATGCTTCGTGGGGGTCCAGGCCTGGCAGTGAGCTTGACATTTCGCCCTGTTGCGTGGTCGTTATCCTTACGGTCTTGTGTGTTTCGGTGTCTTTCTCCTGCACTGTGTCCCCAGCAGCCGCCGAGCCCGGGCCTGGGGGCGGTTGGCCTCGGGGCGGTGGCGATGGAAAAGGTAGAGTCAGGGTTCCTTCCTTCACAGATTTCACGGGAGAAAAGCAACGACGCTGTGAGCGTGTGTTCTGAGCTACAGGTGCAGGGGGACTCGGCGGGAGAGCGAGCGAATTTTAACCTAATTCAAAAGTTAGGAAAATACTTAGTAAACATGTATTACCTAGGTTTTAAATTTTATTTATTTTACATACAGAATTATATTAGTTTTAGGTGTACACTACGGTCATCTGACATTTGCATACTTTACAATGTGGTCATCTCACTAATTGTAGTAACCTGTGTCCGCGTGCCAATTTATCACCCCTCCCGTAGCCCCCATCTGGCAACCATCAGTTTGATTTCTTTCTGTGTTTTTTTTTTTTAGTTTTTTTTTTTTTTTAGGAGATTCCGCACATAAGTGAAATCATATGGTACTTGTCTTCCTCTGACTTATTTCACTGAGCATAATACCCTCTATCAGTGATGGCGAACCTTTTGAGCTCGGCGTGTCAGCATTTTGAAAAACCCTAACTAACTTAACTCTGGTGCCGTGTCACATATAGACATTTTTTTGATATTTGCAACCATAGTAAAACAAAGACTTATATTTTTGATATTTATTTTATATATTTAAATGCCATTTAACAAAGAAAAATCAACCAAAAAAATGAGTTCGCGTGTCACCTCTGATATGCGTGTCATAGGTTCGCCATCACTGCCTAGGTCCACCCATGTTGTTGCAAATGGCAAGATTTATTCCCTATGAGGAGCATTTCATTGTATATATGTACCACTTTATCCATTCGCCTGTGAATGGACACCTAGGTTGCTTCCACATCTTGGCTATTGTAAATAATGCTGCAGTGAACGTAGGGTGCAGATAGCTTTTCCAATTAGAGTTCGTTTTCTTTGGAAAACGCCCAGGCGTGGGATCGCTAGGTGGTTTGGTAGTTCTGTGTTTAGTTGTTGGAAGAGCCTCCGTACTGGTTTCCATAGCGGCTGCTTCAGTCTACATTCCCGCCATCTGTGCATGAGGGTTCCCTTTTCTTCACATCCTCACCTGATCTTGTTTGTTGGTTTGCTAATGACCGATAGGTGAATTGCTGAGCAATTCTGCAGGCTATTAGGTAGCTTACTTCCTTTTCCCCAGTAGATGGTGCCGTAGGTACGTTCCTATTTTCTCTGACCCACTCTCCTTTCCCTCTGGGATTGCTCGAAAATGCCCTGATGGTGGGAGTCCCTATGTGACCGGCTGGCCTGGTAATGGTGGGGCAGTGTGGAGTGGCACTGGTTTTGAGAGTTCCCAGAACTCCCTCCTACCTCCCCTCCCCTGTGTTTTTGGCTTTTCCGGGCTCTGGGGGCCGTGTGGAGGAGAGGAGGCAAGTTCTCGATCCAGTTATGGATGTTGGCAATGTTGTGTGTTTGCAGCTTCCCAGCCATCTTTACCGGGTTCTGCCGCATGGGGAGTTGGGCGGGGAGATGCTTTTTCCGTGAGGCAAAATGTGGGTACAAGGAAGTATATGAAGATGGACCAAAATGAGTGTTACAGACTCAGTGATGGAGAATCTATGACATGCGAACTCATTTTTTTGGTTGATTTTTCTTTGTTAAATGGCATTTAAATATATAAAATAAATATCAAAAATACCAGAGGGTGGGGAGATTGGGGGAGACCTGTGGCAGGAGGATAAAGAATTAAATGTCAAAGCCTAGGGTTAAGCTCCTCCGGGTTAAACTGTTTACTTATTGTCAGATTTATAATCACTGTCCACCTGGGACAGGTGAGCCCAGACCCAGTGTTCCCTATTTGCAGCTAAAAACCTGATGCCCTTGAGTTTGCTGTGGAGGCTACAATTCCATGGCTCCTGCCCAGGACAGCCATCCGTGGGGTTAGGGCAGTGGTCGGCAAACTGCGGGCACTTGAGTGTGGCTCTTCCACAAAATACCAGGTGCGGGCGCGCACGTACACTGCGATGGAAACTTCGTGCGCAGAAGTCGGTATTTTGTGGAAGAGCCACACTCAAGGGGCCAAAGAGCCGCATGTGGCTCGCGAGCCGCAGTTTGCCGACCACTGGACTAGGTGATCCCAGAGATCCCTGTGGGTGAGTATATTATTAGTTTCCAAAGATTTTATAGACCATCTTTAAGGATTTTGTTAGACCCATCTAGAGGGTCTTGAGGCTTTTTCCCCCCTGAATATTATTATTATTTTTTTAATTTTAATTTTTTTCTTTATTGATTAAGGCATTACATATGTGTCCCTATCCCCCCATTGCTCCCCCGCCCCCGCTCATGCCCTCACCCCCATGGTGTCTTTATCCATTGGTTAGGCTTACTGGTATATGCATGAGTCCTTTGGTTGATCTCTCCCCCTTACCCCTCCCCTCCCCTACCTTCCCTCTGAGTTCATAATTTTTAAAAGAATTTATACTGCAGTGATTTTCTTTTACAAAATGCTAATCTGAGCAGGTCAATCCCTGGTTAATCTTTTAATGATTGAAAAATGCATTTTTGAGAGGGAGAGAGTGAGAAAGAAACATCAATGATCAGAGAGAATCATTGATTGGCTGCCTCCTGCACACCCCCTACTGGGGATCAAGCCCGCAACCTGGGCATATGCCCCTGGCCAGAATCTATCCTGGTACCCTTCAGTCCTTAGGCTGACGCTCTATCCACTGACCCAAACTGGCTAGGGCTCTGGATCTGCTTTTGTTCATCAGTGTATATGTTGTTCATTATATTCCTCAGATGAGTGAGAGCATATGATACTTATCTTTCTCTGACTGACTTATTTCACTTAGCATAATGCTCTCCAGGTCCATCCATGCTGTTGCAAATGGTAGGAGTTCCTTCCTTTTTACATCAGCGTAGTATTCCATTGTGTAGATGTACCACAGTTTTTAATCCATTCATCTGCTGATGGGCACTTAGGCTGTTTCCAAATCTTAGCTATGGTAAATTGTGCTGCTATGAACATAGGGGTTCATATATCCTTTCTGATTGGTATTTCTAGTTTCTTGGGATATATTCCTAGAAGTGGGATCACTGGGTCAAATGGGAGTTCCATTTTTAGTTTTTTGAGGAAATTCCTTACTGGTCTCCACAGTGGCTGCACCAGTCTGCATTCCCACCAGCAGTGCACGAGTGTTCTTTTTCTCTGCATCCTCTCCAGCACTTGTTATTTGTTGATTTGTTGATGACAGCCATTCTGACAGATGCGAGATGGTACCTCATTGTCGTTTTGATTTGCATCTCTGGGGTGATTAGTGACTTTGAGCATGTTTTTATATGTCTCTTGGCCTTCCTTATGTCAAACACTTTCAAAAAGTATTTAGGCCCTGGCTGGTTTGGTTCAGTGGATAGAGCATCGGCCTGCAGACTGAAGGGTCCCTGGTTCAATCCTGGTCAAGGGCATGTACCTTGGTTGCGGGCATATCCTCAGTGTGGGGTGTGCAGGAGGCAGCTGATCGATGTTTCTCTCTCATCAATGTTTCTAACTCTCTATCCCTCTCCCTTTCTCTCTGTAAAAAAATCAATAAAAAATATATATTTTTAAAAAGTATCTATTTAGGTCCGTTGCCATTTTTTGCTTGGGTTGTTTATATTTCTTTTGTTAAGTTGTATGAGTTCCCTGTAAATGTTGGAGATTAAACCCTTATCGGAGAGATAACATGGGCAAATATGTTCTCTCATTCAGTGGGCTTTCTTGTTGTTTTGTTGATGGTTTTGCTGTGCAGAAGCTTTTTATTTTGATGTAGCCCTATTTGTTTATTTTCTTAGTAAAATACAGCCTAGTAGCTGTATCAGTGATGATACTGCTTCAGCATATGTCTGAGATTTTGCTGCCTGTGGATTCCGCTAAGATTTTTATGGTTTCCCATCTTACGTTTAAGTCCTTTATCCATTTTGAGTTTATTTTTGTGTATGGTGTAAGTTGGTGGTCTAGTTTCATTTTTTTGTATGTATGTGTCCAATTTTCCCAACACCATTTATTGAAGAGCTCTCCTGACTCCATTGTATGCTCGTGCATCCTTTGTCAAATATTAATTCTTTCTCAGGATTGCTGCAGCTATTCGGGGTCTTTTTTTATTCCAGATGAATTTTTGGAATGTTCGTTCTAGATTTGTGAAATATGCCGTTGGTAATTTAATGGGGATTGCATTGAATTTATAAATGGCTTTGGGTAGTATGGACATTTTGATGATGTTGATTCTGCCAATCCATGAACACGGTATATTCTTCCATCTATTTATGTCTTCCTCTATCTCTTTTTTCAGTGTCCTATAGTTTTCTGAGTACAGGTCTTTTACCTCCTTAGTTAAGTTTATTCCTAGGTATCTTGATTTTTTTTGGTGCAGTGGTAAATGGGATTTTTTTTTTAATCTCTCTTTCTGTAAGGTCACTATCTATATATATAATCTATATGTATAAAAGGCTGATATGCTAAGTGTCCCTCCACCCATCTGACTGGTCGCTATGATGTGCACTGACCACGAGGGGGCAGATGCTCAATGAAGGAGCTGCCAGGCTGCAGTGACTTGGCAGTAGCAGTTCTCGGGTGATGCACCCTGAAATCAGAGAGAAGGGAGCCCAATTCCTTGCGGGGCTGCACAATTCCACCTTTGGCCATGGGTTATGTTGTTGTTGGGGCACTGTCGGCCCCAAATCTGGTTTACTGTACCAGATTGGATTTGCTTTCCACACCCTGTACGACAGCGACTTTCCAGAGTGCCCTCTCACACTTCGGGACCCCTCTGGGTATGTTGGAGAGCCAGTTTCGGCCCGATCCCCACAGGCCAAGCTGAGGGACCCAACCTGCTGGAGGGACCCAGCTCACTCTGCAGAC